GCTCCGCTGTAATTCCATCCTCGCCCGGGGCCTTGCCGTTTTTAAGGTGGTGGAGAGCCATTCTAATCTCGCTCAGACTGACGTACGGGATATCGGAATAGTGTCGGATAAGACTTGCTCTTGGATCGTTACTCACACTTGCGTGTGGCTCCAACGATGATGTGTACAGCTGCCCATAGAACCTCTCAATCTCACTCAGAATCTCAGGTGTCCCGGAAACGATGTTGCCACACTCAGTCTTCAGCCTTGACAGTTGGCTCTTTCTGGCAGACAGATCTCTGGCAAAGACTCTGGAGCCCTGGTTCCGCTCGATCGCTTCTTTAATAAGAGCAGTATTAAAGTTGCGTAAGTCTCGCCGCATGCATTTGGAGATCTGTCTGTTCAGTTGCCTGTATGCTGTCAAATCTGTTGACGATTGCAGCCTCATCTCCCGTCTAACAGCCATGAGATTACGAGTGTGATCGGAGAGTTTTTGTGTTCTTCTGCGGCGGGTCTTGCAGAACTTAGCTCCGACCGAATGGACAGTTTCCACCAGATTGTCATTCATATCGTCTACTGCATTGCAATCCTCTAGGCACTGAAAGTGGTTTTGTAACTCGAGCTGAAAGGTTTCGGGATTCTGGATTAAAGCACGAGGGGGACGGAGCGTTGACTTCATTAGACGAGACCTCTCCAACTTAACATTTAGGTTCAGTGTGCCTCTAACCATTCGGTGATCGCTGCCAGTTTTCACCCTTGCGATCACTGAGACATCACTGAACAGTTGGCGTCTGGTCGTCATAATGAAGTCAATCTCATTTTTTGTCGAACCGTCGGGGCTCGACCAGGTCCACTTCCTGTGGGGCCGCTTCTGGTAGAAATAGTTCATCATAAAGAGTCCCTCTTTCTCCATAAAGTCGGCCAGCTGCTGGCCCCTTCGGTTCCGTTGCCCTACTCCAAATTTCCCCACCTTCAGCTCACTGCTTCCTCTTGTGCCTAGTTTTGCGTTGATGTCTCCCATCAACACCGTGTAGTGGGTTTTGGAGGAATGCATGGCTCTGGAAATATCCTCATACATTTCCTCCACCTCCTCATCGGGATGTGCCGAGGTTGGTGCGTAAACCTGTATGACCTTCAGCGAATACCGTTTGGTGATTCTGAGTACCAGGTATGTGACCCTCGTCGACACACTCCCAATCTTTACAACGTTGTTGACGAGAGACTTGTGGACGATAAATCCGACACCTCCTTGGGACAGATGGTCGCCCTCCCGGTGGTAGAACAAGTTGCCGGACTCGAGGATTGCCTTATCCTCCCCCTCTCTTCGGACCTCGGATAATCCAATAATATGCCAGCGCAACTTGTCTACCTCTTCTTCCAGCTCCAGTATCTTCTCGTCAGTCCTTAGAGTGCGTGCGTTATATGTTGCCAGGTCGAGTCGTCATAGGTGGCAACCGAACCTCCACCGGAGATTCTTAGCACCCCCTGCCCCGCCGTTACCATGGTCGCCACCTTAGCCAGGAATAGCGGGGCCGCCGGGGACTGGGGGCCGTTTGTTTGCGTCGTTACTCATGGGGGGATATTTGCCATAGTTGCCACGCTTGGCGAGCGGGTTGGCAACCGCAGTTTTTTATTATATCATTGCTGTTATCAGGAAGATGCTGCTGCCCATCTCCTGCCTGTTTCCCTCTGTCGCCTCTTACGACACCCACGGGAAGATATGGGGTAGTGGATATTCTCAACCGCCACTACACGGCACAACTTTACCAAAAAGAATACAACTACACAAGTTTCATTTTGTGTAGTTGTATTCTTTTTGGTAAAGTTGTATTCGTGTGTATGTCTTTATTAAAAATTTTCCGAGTTAGTATACAATTTTGGTACACGTATATTTGTGACATGTTCATTACATTAATTTGTTTATAAAGTTTATCTGTCGGTGTAAGATAATCGAAATGAAATAATACTTTTTATAATTTATTTTGGGCAGTTTGTAATATTGCTATATTAGTTTTGGCTGCATTACCCCATATTTCTACTAAATAATCGATTTGTGGTTTAATGATAGTATTATAAATCGTATACCGTACGGAAACTGGAAGACAGCGCGCAATACCCTTTATCATACCCATTAGAGATGTCAGCTTGGATTTGATTTTTAGAATGTGCGGGAGCCAAGTTAATTTACTGTCTAAAATAAGACCTAGATACTTTTCTTGTTCTGCCTTATTAATTTTTATGCCATTAATCATCAACGGACTACAGTCATCAATCGTTTTGTTTTTTTGCAGCAAAAATCATATAACTCGTTTTGGTTGTGTTGATCGTTAAAAGATTGCTCTGTAACCAATCGTTTAGCGAATCCAAATCATTTTATGCTTCTGATACAATAGATCCGATTGAGTGACCATAATAAAAAAGACACGTATCATCAGAGTACAAGGTTATATCTCCACTTAACCCTATCTTATTAATATTATTCATATATATAAGAAATAGTAAGGGCCCCAAAATAGAGCCCTGAGGTACACCAAAAGCTACTGTTCTAAAAGAACTTTGTGTTTTATCTATTTTTACTACTTGTTGACGATTACTTAAATAAGATTTGAAAATAGCTAACGCACTGTTTGTTAAACCGTTCTTGGCAAGTTTACGTAATAGCAACTCGTGGCTCACTGTGTCAAAGTCTTTTTTCAGATCTATAAAAACACCAAGTGCAATTTTTTTCTTGTCTAAATTCAACTTTATTTTCGTTAGAAGGTCTACTGTAGGGGATAGTGTATTTAATTTTGATCTAAAACCATATTGTTTCTTACTCAAGAAATTAATTGACGTTAAGAATATTTCAAGCCGATTGTAAATAATTCTTTCAAAGACTTTTGAGATTACCGGTAATACTGATATCGGACGGTAATTCCCAGGGTCTTATTTTGATGCAGATTTGTTGATTTGGGTTATTTTGGCAATTTTAAGACTGTCAGGGAACACTCCAATCTCTAGACATTTATTAATGCATTCGGTTAATTCTTCTATTATAAGACTTTTGACGCATTTTATTGCTTTAGGACTAATACCGTCTAAGCCTGAGCTAGTGTTAGTGTTTAGGTTTTCAATTATTGCAGAAATTTCATCTACTGTTGTTGGTGCTAAGTGGCTAAGTTTTTGCGAGTCAAATCCAGAACTACCTTCATTTTCATTGTTGTAGCTTAAGTAATGTTTTTTTATTTGATTTGCTATATTCGAGCCAACACTGGCGAAGAATTCATTAAAACATTCGCAGATTTCATCTGTATTAGTTAGTATCAGTCCATTTTGATCCTTCAACTTACTTGGGAATGTTGCTTCTTTCAATTTATTATTTGATAGATTATTAATCAAACTCCACATTTTTGCTGGTTTATTTTTAGAATTTCTAAATGCTTTAAAGTAGTATTTGGCTTTAGTTTTCTTTATATTTTCTGTAAATTTATGTCTTTTCTCTATAAATTTATTTTTTATAATAAGATTTTTGGGGTTCTGTTTATATTGTTTCCATAGGATATTTCTAGTATTTATTTCTTCAATTATTTCTTCATTTATCCAGTCTTGACGCGGGGGTTTAGAATCTTTTCTTTAGTAATGGTACTCTTTTTTATACTGTCTAACACCCTTTTTTCCACTTTATCATACGATTTAGATTCATTCGTTTGTTTGTCATTTAACATAATTGTATGCAATTTCGCATAGTTTACAGCTTCATATTGTAATTTACTGAGAGGAGCTGGCTCATATTTTTTAACCTCAATATATATTTGCTTGTGATCTGAAATGGGTGACTCTAGAATAGCAAAGTGAAAATATTTTTCATTAAGGTTAGTACATAGATGGTCAATAATGGTTTTAGTTGTTTCAGTTTCCCTAGTGCAAAACTTTGGGTCCATCTTATTTATAATTTTATAACCATTTTCTTGCAAAGTTTCTTTATAAGCAAGGGTTCCATGATCATTACAAAGTAGATTGAAATTGAAATCACCAATAATAATTACTCTTTTACGTTTATATATTTGAGCAGAATATTCATCCAAAAACTGTTTTATATCCGAATCTGGTTTTCTATATACAGTTCCAATTTCCATAGAATATTTTTCGAGATGAATCCAAAGGAAATGGTTACCAACCAAATAAGTGTCACTCACGTGAGAATGCTTCAAATCATTATGAACAAAAATCGATACACCACCACCTCTTCGTGTGTTTCTGAAATTATAGTAGTGGCTGTAGTTTGGGATCACAAAACGTTTTGATACAAGTTGTGTTGATACAAGTTTCTGTTAAAATAATGATGTTGACAGTATTTTCAATCATTTTTAGTATGCATTGTAACTCATCAAACTTCCCTGGTGCGACAATGCTGCGTGTGTTAGTATAGTATATTTTAATGTTTTCTTATATGAGTTAATGTGTTTGTAGTCGTCAACTGGTTGGTAAGTGTTTACTTTGTTATCCTCTTCTTTATGATTAGTATAATTTTCTATTGTTTTGAGTTTTTGTGAAACTTTTTACTATTTTTGGCACACTTTTTGAATATTTTATTGAAATATTTCCTCTCCCTTTCTTATTTTATCAATTAACTGTTGAGTAAGCTCCTTTAAGTATAATTTTTGTTGTGGTGTTTGGTCTGAATATATCCTAATTTTATCGTCATTTAACTTTTTCTTGTTCTTCAATATGGATTTAGCGATATCTTGAGATTCAAAGAAAATTTTGATTGGACGATGTTTACCAGATTTATACTTACCAAGTCGTAAATTTTTTTTCTGTAAGGGACAGGTTCCATCAACTATTTTTAATATTTTCATTACTTCTTCTTTGTCAAATTCCATTCTATGTTCTTTGTCCAGTGCTGTACTTTCAGAGATTCCAATTATTAATAAATATTTTTGCTTCTATATTCACGCTCATTTATTTCGGCCATGATTTTTTCGGGTCCGTAAGATAGGAAAGATGTTCCTGTATTTGTTTTAATGTACTTAATTTCGGATTCAAGATGGATTCAAGATCTTCTGTTCATTAGTTTTGTTCTTCTCTAATAAGTTTGAGATATCCGATTTTATTATTTTGTTTTCTTTGTTTACATGGCGTATTGTCGATTTCATCTCAGTAATTTGTTCTTTCAAGTCTGCTACATCTGAAGATATTTTTTCCATTAATTCCTTTTGGTTTGTGCAAATTGTAGTAAGCATCGACATGATCTGTGACATTTTGTTAGTTAATTCGCATACTTCCTTTTTTATCACTGTTATGTCTTCGTTTTCTTCTGGTAATTTCCTTTTATTACGAAAAGTGACTATTTTAGATTCATTAAGTTGTGAATCGCTAAGTGTATCTCTCAAGTCACTTCTTGTAGGTGAGCGTAGAATGTTCATTTTTATATCTGTGTATCCACAGGGTATGGTATGAATGACTCACGTGCTGTTTACTCAATACGCTCCGTCGTCGTAAGTATTGTCACAGTGATTCAACCGATTATAGCACTATTGTTATTAGTAATATGTTTGTATGTAGCCCGGTAGTTGAGATTAATATTTTGTAGTAAAAGCAACACACGTCTGCACTGTACGACGCCTCAACACGACTCCAATTTAATAATAATAATAATGTCCTCTAGACCGAATTTCGGCCACGGCGGCCTGCCTCAGCGGAGGCTAGCCAACGGCGCAGGACAGGATTATAGTGCCCAAGTGTATGCGCAAGCACAGGTGCACTCTCTATTCCCTAACTCTCAATCCGATGGGACGGTAAACCGACACGACCGGAGAGAGATTAGGTGCAGGACCAACGGCTTTACGTGCTTTCCGAGGCACGAGGGTGAGACACCGCCTACCTGACTCCGGGCAACTACTGAGAATTTCTTGACGAAAAAACTCAATAATTATGTTTTTTGGCCCGACCCGGGATTCAAACCCAGGACCTCATGATCAGCAGTCGTACTACTACAACCACTAGACCAACGAGGCAGTCTTAACTGGCAATCTATAATCTAAATTGTAAAGAGTCCCTTAGAGAAAAATTAAAAAAATAAACATATTAACTTTGGCATCGCAATATATTTATGAAAATGTAATGTATGTACATTAAAACAAATACTCGTAGCTTTCATAAGAATAAAGATGTTCATACTTTAAACACTAGGAACAAACATATAAGCTTGTAATACCAGTACTAGACTCCACAGAATTAGTAATTCATTTATGGGGCAATGTATACGCTTTTACAACAAAATCCTAGACAATGTTCAAAACTTGTTATTAAACAAGTTTAAATGTTTTGTTAAAGAAAAATTGTACAAAAAGGGTTATTATAATACCAAAGAATTTTTCAAGGAAAAGGTCCTGCCCCCTGTCTTCCTCAGAGACCAGGTTTAATTCATCAGGCTCTCCAAAACCTGTTACGACACAGGCATCAAATAATACCATGGTAAACCTAACATTCTACTCAGCGCCAACGCGACCCCGTCGGTGGGAATGAAAGAAGGACTCCCCCGGCCGGCGTAAGACATTCGCGGCAGGACAGCGCTCAAGAGAAGAACAACAAGCAAGAAGACCTCTCAGGCTCCCTATTAGGTCCCATTAGGCATTAGATTAGTGATAGTTTGTAAGACTGCCGCATTGTGTAAATATTTTAGTAAATTTACTTTAGTTTTTTGTACAATCTTTAATTTAACTCAACTCGTAGCAGTTTAAAATAGTAATAAATTCTCTCAGTAAATAATTAGTCAGGCAAGCAGTCGACATCAAAGGAGTGCAACAGAAGTTGCACTACTTTGATTGCGACTGCTTGTCGACGTTTAATTGCCTGCATTATTATTAATCAGATAAATCGCGCACGCAAGCTAAATAAAATTTTATCGCTGCGCACGAGTGTCCATGTTACTTTGCATTTTCCCCCTCCTACGCCATGGCGGTCTTTTCGTGGTTATTAAGGGCTAACAATAAAGAGTAAAAAAAAATACATTGCGAAATGTTAATTAAGTTACTTAGGTGAAGTACCTATTCTATGATCGCCTGACCATATTTTCGTACCTATGTGATTTCTGCGATGCTCAACGCATGCAACTAGCAAGTCCACGACAAATAAACGATTCCTAACAGAAATGTGATCGTATTCTACTCAGTTAAAAATCTTGTTAGAAAACACAGTTTTAATTTCAGTGTTTAGTGTTATTTTAACTTAAAATATTTTAATTACAAGACATAATATATAGGTATGTAAGTATGTAGGTACTTGGATGGGAAGTAAATTTCAACTAAGTTTTGTAATAAATAAAGTACGTAGGTGTTACTTGTGTAAATAAATGATTACTTAATTCTTTTTACTAAAGTACCCAACTAACAAAAAAATGAAATAAATTCATCTTTCATAACTTCCTTCTAAAATCCTTCGGTAATTTTAAAGAATGATATATCTGAAACCTTTTTTTGGGCATTTGGCATCCATCCACGCAATAATTATAGTAGGAGAGACATTTTTCCATTACAATTAGGTAAAATAATATAAATAACACTAAACAAAGACTATTTCAACAAGTATTTATAAAAAAACTATTTGCGTAAATACCATTAAAAAAAACATTCAATCGCCTACAACGTGCTAGCCCCGACTGCGTATGTTATCCTGGATGCCTAGCGATTGTAGGTAATTATTTCACGCAGGTAGCAAGAGTGACAGAGGGCTGGTAACAGTTAGTTCAGTATTTCTTTCTTCAAGATTAAAACACAACCTACATAAATACAGTCCACTAAGCTCTCATTCATTACACAATAGTTTCTTTAAGTTTATTAGTCAGATAATAATAATAATATAATAATAATAAAGCCTCTTTATTCCTTAATAGAAATTATTTACAATACAACAATTATATGTACGCTTAGAAAATATAAAATAAAATATATATTTCGATTAAGGACCCCTCTTTGGGTAAAGGCCTCCTCCATCTTTTCCCACTCTTTCCGGTTCTGTGCTATTTTTAACCAATTTTTTCCTGCTGTCTTTTCAACCTCATCGACCCATCTTTCTTTCGGTCTTCCTTGCTTGCGTTTGCCTGTTGGTCCTGTCCACATGGTTACTCGTTTAGTCCATTTGGTATCTGTGGATCGTGCTACATGACCTGCCCACTTCCATTTCAATTTTTGAGAGTAATGTAATGCGTCTATCACTCTCGTTTTCTTGCGAATGTCATTGTTTTTGCATTTATCTTTTAGTTTTAGGTTTAGGATACTTCTTTCCATTGCACGTTGACATGTTAGTATTTTATTCCTTGTTTGTCTATTGAAGATCCATGTTTGGCAGCCATATGTGAGACAGGGAAGTATGCAGGAATCCATGACTTTCTTTTTTAAATTTAGCGGTAGATCTGCTTTGAGTACCTCTTTATGTTTCCAAAACTTATTCCAGGTTATAGCAATTCTCCTATCGATCTCGTCTTGATTTCTAGAAATTTTGAAAGATGTTTGTTTGCCTAGGTAGTTATAGTGATCTACATATTCAAGCTCTATGTCATCTACTTTTATTGGGTGTTTTGTGCTATTTGTGCATACCTTCGTTTTTTCAGTGTTTAGTTTTAGGCCTATTTTTGTGCTTACATTGTTAATTTCTTGTATCATGGCTTCAAGTTTTTTATGTGAATCGGAGAAGATAACAATATCATCGGCGAAGCGAAGGTTGTTCAAATAGTTGCCATTGAGATTAACTCCTACTTTATTCCAGGATAAGTCTTTCATAATGTGTTGTAGTACCGCTATGAAAAGTTTAGGTGAAAGAGGATCGCTTTGTTTTACTCCTCTACGTATTTTGATCTCAGGTCCTGTACGATCAAGTTTAACTCGGCTTGTGCTTTGTTCATAGATACTTCTTATGATAGCTATATACGTTTGTGGTATTTTTTGCTGTTTGAGAGCTCTCCATATACTGTCATGGGATATAGAGTCGAATGCTTTTACGTAGTCTATGAATCCGAGATATAGAGGTTTATTGAACTCTATAAATTTTTCAATTATCTAAGGTATGGATATGATCTATGGTGCAGAAACCTCTACGAAAGCCCGCTTGTTCTGTAGGTTGCTGTTCGTCTATTTGACCTCCTATCTGTTTTTCTAGGCACATAGCGAAAAGTTTATATATCGCAGGTAACAGACTTATAGGGCGATAGTTGCTAGCATTCGTTGGGTCACCTTTTTGTACAAGAGAATAATTCTTGATTCTGTCCATTTTTTGGGAACACTACGTTTTTCTAAAACTGTATTAAACAGTTTCATGAGAGGCGCAGCTAATAGATGTTTGGCAAGTTTCAAAGTTTCGTTAGGAATACCGTCAGGACCGGAACTTTTATCATTTTTCAGGTTGTCTATGTTTCTTATGATTTCTATTTCGGTAAACTTATCAATACTTGTGGAGTCATAGACCTCCTCTAGTGTTTGCTCAGATTCCAGAGTATCTATAGTCTGCGCTTCATAGAGGTTCTTATAAAATTCTGTTGCGATATTGACAACATCTTTCCTTGTCTGAATTCCGTGTTTATTTGTTTTAAGTTGTGGTATGCAATTTTTATTTTTATTTAATTGTTTATCGGCTTTTTTTAGACTCCCAGTGCTATTAAGATGCTCCTCTAATATTTGTATTCTATGTTGTTGGTAATCTTTTTTTAATTTTTTGTTTGCAGTTTTGAATAATTGTGATAGCTCTTTTTTTTTCCTCAGAGTTGAGATGTTTTTTATGTTGAAGTTCTGCACGTCTTTTTAACAATGATTTAGTTTCTAAAGTGATGAAACAGTTCCTTTATAACGGTTCTTGAGATTTTGTTTTTTGAAAAATACTCTATGTTGTCGTTTTCTCCAAAGTATAGTTCTTTTGACTTTTGTTCAAGGGTGTTCTGGTATTTATTTTGGGCAACTTTTTCTTTTAATATAGAGTTCGTAGAGCTAAAATATTTTCTCGTTTTTTTCTGTTTTCCAAGACTTATAGTACCTCGTACCAGCCTATGATCTGTTGGAAATATATTATTATTTATTACTTCTATGTTTGTAAATTGTTTTAAATTGTTACTTAAAATGAAATCGATTTGGTTTTTTGTCTTTTTATTGGGGGAAATCCATGTCCACTGGGATGTTGATTTTTTTTAAAGAAAGTGTTTATTATTTGAAGTTTGTTCTCCAGAGCGTATTGAAGAAATAAGTCACCCCTGTGGTTTCTTTTTCCATAACAGAAAGGTCCCATAACCTTAAGTTCTTTACATTCCCGTTGCCCAATTTTGCAGTTGAAGTCGCCCATTAAAATAAGGTTATTTGCAGCAATAGATTGCGCTTTTCGTATTGTGTCATAGAACTCATGCATCTCTTGGTCTGTTGCGTCTAATGTAGGTGCGTACGCT